ACATTATTTTTTGGATGAACCCTATCTCTATAAGAGATGTGCTGATGGGTTATTCCAAAGATGCGTGGCTGAAGAAGAGATGGAAGGAATTTTATTCGGATGCCATAGCTCGTCTTACACAGGACATTTTGCAACCTTCAAAACCGCTTCAAAGATCTTACAAGCAGGTTTTTGGTGGCCTACTCTGTTCAAAGATACTCAAGCTTACATATCGCGATGCGACAAATGCCAAAGAATGGGAAACATAAGCAAAAGGAATGAGATGCCTCAAAAATTTATTCTCGAAGTCGAAATTTTCGATGTCTGGGGAATAGATTTTATGGGACCCTTTCCAACTTCTTTTGGAAACCAATACATCTTAGTAGCAGTAGACTACGTATCTAAGTGGGTTGAAACAGTCGCTAGTCCCACCAATGATGCGAAAGTTGTCATGAAGCTGTTTAAATCTGTGATAATCCCGCGTTTTGGAGTTCCTAGAATTGTGATAAGCGACGGAGGATCGCATTTCATCAACAGAGTTTTTGAGAACCTTCTTAGAAAGAATGGAGTTACACATAAAGTTGCTTCTCTATACCATCCCCAAACCAGCGGTCAAGTAGAGATCTCAAACAGAGAAATCAAGTCGATTTTGCAGAAAACTACTGCAGTTCATCGCAAGGATTGGTCTACCAAGCTTGACGACGCATTATGGGCATATCAAACAACATTCAAGACACCATTGGGAACAACACCATTCAACCTAGTTTATGGAAAAGCATGTCACCTTCTAGTAGAGCTCGAGTATAAGGCGCAATTGGCTATCAAGGAGATGAACATGAACCTGAAAACAGCTGGAGAAAGAAGAGTACTTCAACTGCACGAGTTAGAAGAAATCCGACACAATGCCTACGAAAACTCGAAGATCTACAAAGAGAAGACTAAAGCATATCATGATAAGAAGATTATTCATAGAACTTTTGCTCCTAACGATAAGGTACTTCTTTTCAATTCTCGTCTTAAGCTTTTTCCAGGAAATTACGTTCAAGATGGTCAGGACCCTTCACGATAAAGAAAGTCAAGCCATACGGAGCCATTGTCCTGTGAGAGAACCGGAAACTCATTTACAGTGAATGGACAGCGCGTAGAGCCATATCTGGCTGAAGAAAGAGAAAACGAAAGAGAAGTGATGTTTTTAATTGATCCATCCTCGGCCAAGGATGAAGTCAAGGAGTGTCACGACCCCGGTTAAGTTTAATCGAGCAACAATGTCAAGCTAATGACTTGAAACAAGCGCTTAGTGGGAGGCAACCCACTTGGTATTTGATCTATTTCCCTTTGACCTTTATTTTCTATTTCCATTGCTTTGTTTCTATTTCATTTAATGTCAGGTTTTCAATAAGGAAGAATAAATACAAAAGAGAAGCAGCACTCTCCAACACGATAAGTTCACTTAAACATTTCAACTTTTCTATTTTCTTTACCATTTTTTCCAAGATTTATCACACTGAGGACAGTGTGAAATAAGTCTGGGGGAGGATGTTCATCCGTTACTAATGAAATTTGATTTGTTTTGGACACACACAAAAAAAAAAAAAAATTTCAAAATGTTTTTCATAAAATTTTTCAAAAATCGTTTTCAAAATGTTTTCCAAAAAATTTTCAAGCCAGGAACACAATAAACATTACTATGATGATTTAGACCAGTGTGCTTCTACGCTATTTCCTCGTTTTTTGCTCTTTTTGTGATTTAGGCCTAGACTAGGCGGTAGCTAGAATACTTGCATTACGAAATCCCACCAGAAGACTTCTATTCATGGAGATTCTTTCTGACAGGATATACTAGCTCATTTTATCTGGACTTAATTTTGACTTAATTTTCTCATTAAACCATTAGATCAGGGAAACGAATCATACATTCAGGATTTACCCTTTTACCACTCTTTGTTGATCCTGAATGGCTAGTTCATCTTTAGCTAGTTCCCCACCAAACCTAACCTCTTTCAAACCACATGCATTCTTGTTTTTCATTATCCTATATGCAGATATGTGCAAAAATGTCGGAGAGAAAGAGGATCAACGCAGTTTTCAGTCACTAAAGACGGAGACCAGCGATTTCATTGGAATGATTCAACATAAGGAGATAATTCAGTTTGCCTTGGAAAAACTTCAAAATCTTGGTACAATTTCGTCCCTTAGACTTTCTCTCTATAAAAAGTTGTTTCTTCTTTTCAAAAAAAAAATCCGAAAATGAAAAGAAAAAAAAATATGAAGGGAGAGGAAATTTAAAACCTTAGAGAGTCTAGGAGGATCGAATTTTATACTTGAGGCAAGCTAGAGTCCGATTACATGGAGTTTTGGAGATTATCTTTTTGATTCCCAGAAAATATCTAAGTCTAGGGGACAGCTGTTTACAACAAAGGAGGAAGATTATGCAACAACATTTGGCAAAGGAGAAGTGACTGAAAATCTGCGGACACCAACAGGTCCTTCTCTCTCTTGCGGTTTTGCATAATATCTTGCATCCTCCATATTCTTCAGGTAACCCTAAACACTTAAACTCCACCACTTAAATAGCCTTTAATGCCAAACGCCGTCTACCCTGAATAATGTCTTTAATGAGAATATACTTAATAAATGTAGAGAGCTAGTTGACTGGAAGTTAGATCTAAGTGTGTAGATTTTTCGCATGACGGATTAACGGACTAGTTTGCTTGTATTTTGGTGAGAATTTTCTAGACTAGATCCAAATAGATGTTTCACGATAAGTTAAGGTTTAGAAGGACGCTCACTGAGATATTGTTTAGTTCCTGCGATTTTCAAAAATATCTTTCCTGACTTAAGTTTGTTTGTGGACAAACAAAAAGGTAAGTCTGGGGGAGTTGATAACACCGTATTTTGACCACTTTTATGGATCATAATAATGTCTTATGCAGGTGTTTTAACTCTGTTTTCAATGGTTTTTAAATTTTTTTCAATGTTTTAGAGTTTCAAAAGACTTTACAGGAAACTTGGGCAAAAGATATGCACTTTGGAACAAATGAGCAATTTTGGATAAATGCAGACCGTCAGAAGTATGACAAGCGATGAAGACCTTCTCACCGTCTGATCACCCCCAAAATTTGAGACAACATAGAGAATCCAACCAGATTTCTAATGCACTTGGTTTGGAGACAATCCAACGGTTAGATCTTCAGATACTCCCGATGCAGGAATGACAAAAAAATGCAGTTCCAGAAGAGAGGCGTGTGCCGGGACCGCGGCCAACACCTATTTTCCCGCGGTTAGAGCCACCGCAACCGCGGAACTTGGTCGTTCACTTTCCAGAAGACTTAATTAAAGCCCAGATCAATTCCTTTCGTTATTTTTGAAGCCCTAAGTGTCCAGGACCACTCCATAAGCTATAAATACATCCTTTAGGTCATTCTAAAGTGTGTGTTCCTTTCTGTACTTAAATTTTCGTGTGAGACTCAAAACCCTAGAGAGAGAAGCCGCCTATCTTGGAGAAGGAGCCGCTGGAGTGCATCATCGCGCCTCCGTCGTCGCCTCTGTTCTTCGTTTTTCTTCTCTGTCTTCTTTAATTTCCTGCAACTTTCAATACTTTGTGATGATTGTTTACAATATGTTTGAGTAGTTACCCAGTTGGGTTTAAAGGGATTGTTCAAAGGGGATTTCATGTGTCTTTGTTTATGAATCGATAGATTTATGATTATTAATCTTCTAGATGTTCTTTGTTTGCCTTTAGTCTTACTGCGTGATTCTTTGCTGGCCACTTAGAAGCTGATCTGATATGATATGTTGCGAAAGTTTTCATTGATTATCTGAACTAGGGTGAAACGAGCAATTCTTCTATAGGTGTGGAAACCTACCTACAGTTGAGTTGTGAATGTTGATGAGTCTTGTTCTGCTATTGCATCTTCTCCCTTCCAGGATCAGAGTGGAAACTTACTGATCAGGGTTGCGAGAGATAGTTGTTTAGTGCTGCGAAAGTAGGCTATTCATACTTCCGTGCCTCGAGTTCTAGAACATACGTAGCTGATTACCTTTATCACTTGTTTAAAATCGACGTAGATTAGACCATGAACCCCTGCGAATTACCCTTGAGCCCCAACGTTTGTCTTTAATTGCTTACAACCTTTGCTTTTCATTCGATATTACCTGCTTCCAATCGCCTTGTTTAATCGCATTTTACTTTCTTTACTTGCTTTCTTTTTCAATTGCTCTTTAGTTTTTACTTGCTTTCTAATTTAGATTTAGTGACAACCAAAACCCAAAACCAAAACCCAAATTGTTTAGTTCTAATCTGATTTAAGCATAGCCGTGAATTCGTACTGAAACAACTAAGTCTCTGTGAATCGATACCCTAAGTACTACAGCGCACATATGTGCACTTGCAGACATTTAGGGGTTATAAATTTAAAACTTGAAGCTTAGTAAAACGAAAAAACAAACCCCATTTACAATCGCAATCACGGTTGAAGATGTGTGTTGCCTACTTTTTATCCTCTATAATTAATGGGAAGACAAAAATCGGAAAGGGAGCCCCATCTGTTGACCCCTTATTCCTGAGGATTGTGGATCTTGAGGCTTGTAGAAGGTTTCGTTGGGGTAAGTATTCCTTCGATGTAAATATGAAGGAGATTGAGCACACAATAAGGCATTTCAAAGTGGTCATCGAAAGAGATGCATGGACATTTCCAAGCTTTGTTACTCCCTTGGATGTATGTCACATTATAAAGAATTTGTAGGTCTATGTGTAGTTGTAATACTATGAGCTTTAGTGTAATTTATTGGGTTATGTGTAATTGCTAGATTTTGAGGTCATCCCATGTCTGAAGTACAAATACAGAGAAGATGTTAGAGGACCAGATAGGGATTGGCCCCTTATGTGCAGGCAGAAGTTCTAACCATTCACCCTAAAAGGTTTCTCTTTGTCGGAACTCAATGAAACACTAGGTAACACTACGGTCATCAAGAGTATATTGCAATCATATGAGGATGAGGAAATTATGCTTGCTGGAGTCATGGAGAGGAATGAAGAGAAAGATGTCAGTGATATAGTTCCTGACAATTGGACGAGGTGTTTAGTTGAGGAAGAGAAGCCGATATTCTGGAAAAAGATATGCAAGATGGATGTTGATGCCTTAGATAATAAGGAGTGGGTAAACCATCCTGCAATGGCTAAGGAAAATGTGGCTACGGAGAATGTGGCATCTCTTGGATTGGTGAAACAGCTGCAGAGCTTGCAGAAGAGTATAGATGCTCAGTTTTTCCGAATCAGTGACCGCATGGATGACATTGATATAAGACTCTGCTCTGTAGAACAATATATGAAAGAGGCAAGAAGAAAAGGACCAGGAGATGAGGAAGGAGAAGTTTTACGAAATGAAGAAGGAAGAAAGGAGGAAAAAGGAGACGAAGAAGAACATGAAGATCCTCCCGAAGGTGGAGAGAAACTTGAAAGTCTGGTGACAACTGAGAAAGGGAAGAAGCAGAAGCAGCCGAATCAGAAGGAGTCAGATGATAAAGATAAGAAGCAGAAGGAGCTGAAGCAGAAGGAGCTGAAGCAGAAAGAGCCAGAGCTGAAAGAGGCGGAGCTGAAAGAGGGAGAGCAGAAGGAGACGGAGCAGAAGGAGGCGGAACAGAAGGAGGTGGACCTAATTTTATCTCGATCTCCCCAAAAATATGTTCGTTATTGATAACACCGGATTTTGACCATTTTTATGGATCATTTTAATATCTTTTACAGGTGTTTTTACTCCATTTTCAAAGGTTTTCAAAGGATTTCTATGTTTCCGGATTTTAAAAGACTTTTCAGGTAATTTGGGATAAAGAGGCACAAAATGGAACAAAAAGACTCTTTTGGATAAATGCAGACCGTCATAACTCTCATGGAGAGACGAAGACCTTCTCACCGTCTGATCACCCTCAAAATTGGACAACTTATAGAAGAATCAACCAGCTTTCAAATGCACTTGGTTTGGAGACATTCCAACGGTTGGATCTCAAGATATTCCATTAGCCCCGGAGCCACGCGGAGTCGGCCAGCAACTCACGCGACCGCGGCCAACAAGCTATTTGCCGCGGTCAGAAGCTTCCCGACCGCGGCCAACAAGCCAATTGCCGCGGTCACAACACTCCCGACCACGGCATTCAACCTCCGACTTAAAGCCCACTTATCTGAAGCCCAAAGTCATTCCCAACCTCAATTCCGGAACCCTAGAGACCATGGAGTATTGGAGACTATAAATACATGTCATTTAGGTCGTTTTTAGAGAGAGCTTTTCATACTTTACAGAAACCCTTTTCCTTTAGCCGTTTTTATGAGATTTTTGTAGAAGATTGTTCAAGTCCGAGTTCTTCAATAGAGAAGCTTTCTTTATCTCTTTTATTTACTATTTTTCATTACTTTTATTAAAACCAATGATGATGTCGAACTCAGCCATGTCTGAGTAGATCCCGAGTTGGGCTTAGGGTTCCCGAAAGGGCCTCTCATAATCGATTAAGACATCTAGGTTTATAGATCTGGGATTTCGACCTGTTCTCTGTTTATTCTTGTTCTTATTGCATGTATGCTTGATTGATCACCTAGTATCTGATCTAGATAGTTAGTGTTGCGAAAGTTTTCATTAAGTATCAACCCTAGAATGAAACAGGCGATTTTTCCGTAAGAGTGGAAACCTACCTGCGGCGAGATCGTGAGTATTGACGAGTCTTGTGCAGCTCTTGCGTTCTCTCCCTTCCAGGGCCAGAGTGGAAACCTACTGGTCAGGGTTGCGAGAAACAGTTGGTTATGATCACGACAGTGACGTAGTCATACCGCCGTACTCTAGCTCTAGAACCCATATATTGTTATCCGTCAATCCCAATCTATCTACACTAATGTTAAAACCGATTATGATCCCTTAGAGTTCCCAAAAGCTCAGCGTTTTTAGCCATAGTTTACAATTCCATCGATTTTTACTTGCTTTCTTAGACCTGCATTTCAATTTCCTTAGTTCGTTATTTACTTGCTTTATTTACCTTTCATGCGATATTTTACTTGCCTTATTTTTGTTTAGTTCGATATTTTACTTATTCCGTTTGCATTTCATTCGCTTTTCTTTACCTGCTTTTTAGGATAGATTTATTTGCTTTCTTTTGTTTTAGTTTAATTCGCAAGAAAAACAACCAACCTTTAAAACCAATTTAGTCTAGACATAAAGTTAAAAACCGTAGAAGAATACCAGGCACACAAATCTCTGTGGATTCGATCCCTAAATACTACAACTGATTAGCTGTGCACTTGCGGCTTTCATTTGTTTTGTTAAGGGTAAAACTTGTTCCCTCACGTAGTTGACACGAGCACGCATCAAGTTTTTGGCGCCGTTGCCGGGGATTTATTTCGTTGCCTTTTGCTATTTTTCTTGTTTTAACTTCTTTTCTAGACACCTGATCTCTAGTTCTTTCTTAAAGTTTTTCTGAACTATCTTTCCCTTCTTTTGTCTTTCTCTGAATTGCATGAATACCAGGCGTAGACCTGCAGGAGACATTCCAATTCTAGACGAGATAGACAGACACGAAAGAGAACTTCGAAGACTTAGACGAACGCAAGGAATGGCCAACGACGACCAGCCTGGAGATCCTATTAATCGAAATTTAAATATGGACCAAGAAGGGTCCGAACATGGAGAAAACGAAGAGAATGATCACATAGAAGGTGATCATGCTCGACAAGATGGAGAGGAGGATGAGGTTCTTCCAAGAAACCACCAGAACCGAGAGAGAGAAGGACGTGAAGACCTTGACCCACCCATCAATGTAGCCGATGGTGACCACCCAGCAATGCAGCCGAATGAACGCATTCACCGCCCCATTCCGCCAGCAAATCAACACCGAAGACAAGCCAGGAACCATCGCATAGCTGACTTTGATGCACCTACTCAAAATTTTCAGAATCGATCTGCGATTCAAGTACCATTTCCAAACCGGAATGAGTTTGAAGTCAAGACTCAAATCATCTCATTGGTGAAGCAAAACCAGTTCCATGGAGTTCCTTCTGAGCACCCAATGGACCATATCGAGCTTTTTGAAGAAATTTGCAGCATGATGAGAACAAACCAAGTTCCGCCTGACTATTTAAAGTGTAAGTTTTTCCCTTTTTCATTAGCAGATAAAGCTCACCGTTGGTTGAAGTCTTTGCCTGCAGGATCGATTACTAATTGGGAAGAATGTAGAACTGCTTTCTTGAACCACTTCTACACTAAGTCAAGGTCGAACAATTTGAGAACGAAGATCTCAACCTTTCAACAAGGGCCAACTGAATCTTTCTATGAAGCTTGGGAACGTTTTAAGGAGTATGAACGTGATTGCCCTCATCATGGATTTCATGGATCAAGCCTGCTGAGCACATTTTACCGAGGTTTGCAACCAAAATACAAACTTTCAATTGATACAGCTAGCAATGGAGATTTTGGGCAAAAGACGATAACCCAAGGAAGAGCCCTCACCGAATATTTGGCTCAAGCCAATAGCAATGACTGTCCTGAATATGATCAATCGATGAAGCAAGCCGGAACAGACAACAAGGAGATAACCGAGTTGAAGAACATGGTGAGCCAGCTTCTGAAGAGCAACAATCGCCCGATCCATGCTTGTGAAACCAACAATGGCGCAGAAGAGGAAGGACCTAGTGATATCGATCACATTAATCAAGCATTTCAAGAAGAAGATGTGAACTACGTAGGAGCACTGGTGCCATATCAAAATCGCTCCAACAACAACTTCAACAACAACTTCCGGAATGCAAATTACAACAATCTCTCTTACCGCAATCCAAATGTGGAGAACCCTCAAGATCAGTACTACCCACCTCAGCAAAAATCATTCCAAAACAAGTTTCAAGGTGGAAACTTTGGAGGAATAGTACCATATCAACCGCGACAGCCATATAACTACCAAGGTACGGGTTTGAACAATCAATTTGTACAACAGAAGGGAGTCACGACGAACCAGCTAGCTTCACAAATCGGTAGACTTGAACAGTCAATCCAACAGCTCGTTATGACGAACGAAAAAGCATCTAAAGACGTGAACGTGAAAGTGGACTGCATGTACAATGATCTGAATGGTAAGTTTGAATCTTTATCTTCGCACGTAAAGAAGTTAGATGTGCAAGTCGCCCAAACAGCCGACTCTATGAAGAGGCAAAGTGAAGTTCTTCCAGGAAGAGTTGAAGATAATCCTAAGAAGTTTTGCAACGCCATAACAACATTGCCCGAAGAAGAGTCCGGAACCGATGGAAAGAAAGAAGAAACCCCAATCTTTGTACCACTGTACAAGGACATCGATCCTAAGCAGCCACCGTTTAAGGTACCCGAACAATCACCGTTTCAAAGGCTTACCAAAGCCGATGATCCGGGACGTTTTGTTTTTCAGTGTTTCATTTCAGGAATCAAGTTTACAGACTGCTTGTGCGATTCCGGAGCCAATGTCAATATCATGTCTAAGGCATTTGCCGAAAGATTGGGCATAAAAACCTTAAGGACATCGACGGTTAAGGTTATCTTTGGAGATTCATCTCAAAAAGATACTGAATGGGCGATTCATGATCTACAAGTTCTAGTGGGAGATAAGATTGTTCCAGCAGATTTCCAAGTCCTGGAGATGGATAAAGACAAGGAGAGGCCACTCATTTTCGGGAGACCATTCCTAGCTACAGTAGGAGCAATAATCAATCACGCAAACCGGCATGCTGTTTTCCTCAATGTGGACAGAAAAAGGTACTATCGTACTATCTTAGATGAATTTCCAAGTAAAGGAAACAGGCCAAAAGAGAAAGAAAAGGAGAAGCTGAAAGCCTTTGCAAAGATCAAGATCATCATTCCACCGGACGCAACAGAAACTAGTGAGGATCAAATACAGGAGTTGATCGAAAACACAAAAAGGGTTCTGAACAACATTAAAGTCTGAAAGAAGATTAAAGGTAAGAAGACTTCTCTTCAAGGAGAAGAAGTAAAACCTCCACCAACCGGAAGTGATAAAGGCACATCAAGTGGAGTGCCATTCTAATCAGCCTGATGCTTCATGCTTACGTCGAGCTAAACGACTTAAAACAAAAGCGCTTAATGGGAGGCAACCCATTTAGGTACTCTTTCTTTTAATTTTCTTTTCCCTTTTTGAGTTTATGCTTTCTTTTTCTTTTTAAGTATTAGGTATTTTATAAAACAAAAAAAAAAATACACAAAAAAATCAGAAAATTAGAAAAACCAATAAGAAAAAGGTAGGTCTTTACCTGCTCGGCCCAGCAAAGACGAGAAGATTGGACAATAGGCCGCAGGAGGAAGACCCGCCGTCGCAACAGACCTGACCGCGGCCAAGAGTGCATCGACCGCGGCGCCGGAAATGTGACCGCGGCCGAGCCCTCAGCCACCGCGGTCGCGCGTCTCCTGACCACGGCCGTTGGTCGTTGAGATGATTCCACGGATTTCTGCCGCTTCCCGGTGTTGCCTGTGATTCCCGGTTTTGCCTGGTGATTCCCGGTATTTCCCGAAATGTTCCCGGTAAAACCCGAAAAGATCCTCCGTAAGTTTTAAACTTTCCTAATGTGCAAACAAGACAAGGTAAGTTCCCGTAAACTTAAAAATTTCCAGAAATTTTCCGTTTTTGCTTCAAAAACGCTTTTTAAAGAAAAGAAACAAACTTTTTGGATCAAAACTCT